AGGAATTTAGGATGTTCCTCTAGGAGCTGAAAGTGATGGTTTTGTACCATTCTTGGAAGCTTCATTGATGTAGAGGCAGGGTTACTTCCTTTCCCTTTTTGTCAGATGGAAAATAAATGAAAAGTGACAATTGTTTCAATTAATATATCGATAACTTTTTTCCTAAGAATACGGGAAAGCCATGCTGTAATAGCCTAGTGAAAAGCAAGATTATAGAGGAAATTTTTTTAAAATTTAAAAATTTTAAATTTTTTTTGTTACTTATATTAGTAAAGCTTACAACTTGGGCCTGAGAGGTTCCCGGAGTTTGGGGCTTGCACTGCTAACAGCCAGAAGAAATTTTTCTGACAGTGTTATCACAATTCTCCTGTTTTGTTGAAAAAATGGAACACAGTGTTCCAGTTGTAATAGAACTCTTTGACATTTATTTTCTATCTGTCAAAAACTAGGAGCATTGTAAGCCCACGTGGTATGATGCACATTGCAGGCAAAGTAAATGGGGAAAAGCACTGATACAGCAAGGCCACAAAGCATAAACTGACACAGACTTGCTATGCTTCTGCTTAGCATGGGATTTTTCTCTTTCAAGTACCTGCCCTGTGTTTTAATGTGGGTAAAATTGGATACTCACCAAAGCTTGTGTTATGTTATCTGCCCCCTCAACTAATCCAGGGTATTTCTATTTTCTCTTTCTTCTTTCAAAGTTCAGAAAACTTTTCCTGGAAATGCCAAGTGATGGTGTAGTGCCTGGATATTGAGCAGGCCCCTTCCCAGGCCAGTCAGGCACAAAGATGCCACTTTATTAATAGGGTTTTTTTACTTCTTTCAGGTGTGAAATATGTAGCGAAGAGGAAGCTAAGTACAGATGTCCACGCTGCATGAAATATTCATGCAGGTATATATAACTTGAATTAAACTGGTTTTGGTTATTTTACCACTTGTGTGTTGAACATGGCATGTTAATGTTTTTCTTTTTGTTATTTCAGTCTATTGTGTGTAAAGAAGCATAAGCTTGCACTGAGCTGTAACGGAGTCAGGGATAAAACAGCATTTGTCCCTGTAAATAAATTTACTGACTTGAACCTTTTGAGTGGTAAGAACATTCCTTGTGCTTTTTAACATCCACTGTTTTTACTTGGTTAGCACTACATTTTCCCTTGTTCTCTTTTTTACCTTCAGATTATCGTTTTCTGGAAGATGTAGGAAGGACAGCTGATGCTGCTGCTCGACATCCTACTGCGCATAGTCCAGCAACAAAAAAAATTGTAAGTTTTAAATTCGCAGCCTGGTCTGTTGGAGATGGGGTTGACTACCTTTGAACTCCCACTGAGGCGTCCCAGTCCAGACCTGATAGCTCTCATAAAAAGATATGAATGATCCTGAATATTAGAGCCAGAAATAAAAGAAGTCTCTAGGTTTGTGTATTACTAGTATTGATGGCTATATCCAGTTGTTTAGAAGAATAGGTTGCTAACAGCATACATTCTTAAATTTGGTGCATGACCACTTTTGCCATTTGGTGCTAGATGTGTGTTAAAGCTTGAATATTTCCTTCCATTTCCACAACTTTTTTTAAGTACAAGCTATCCAAGTAAACAATTAATTTATTAATGGCCTAAAAATTATTACATGCTCCTCCCTGTACAAAATGAAGGCAGATAGAGTTCTGCAAAGAATCTAGCAACAGTGAAGTAAAAACCAGCCTTCTAAGAGTGAGAGGGGATTTTTGTTGAATCTCCTATTCAAATAAACCGTTAATGAGATTACAGAAATGCATGGCATTTCTTGAAAATCCTATGACAATAAACTGCAAAGGGCAAGATCAAGAAGAAAGAAAAAAAAAAAAGAAAACCAAAATCCATTCCAGAATACTTGGACTTCTGTCACAGAAAGGCATCAGGGCCCTGTTGTTGTCTTGTAAAGATATCTTTAAATATAACTCTAAATTCAGAGAGAACTAACGCTGATGATGAAGTAAATTCAGAATACTTCAGGTTTCCTTCAGACTGAAGTCATTTTGTGTGTCCGTACCACCATGATGTAATGAAAATGTGCTGAAGATGGTGAGATGCAGCATAGGTAGCAGTTTTTAGGGTGTGGTACAAGGCACATTTATGGATTGATATCCTTAATGGTACTTCCAAAACCAAGTCTATCAGCGTGGCTGAGATGGCACATGTATATCCCTTCTCCTAGTGGGGTTGTAGAGCCCAGAAAACAGCTCCATGGGTAGTGTTACACCCACAGCAGCTGGTTGTAGCTTTCATTGTGTGTTAATGAACTTTTACTATAAAGAGGTCATTAGCATGCTGGTTTTTAACCATGGAAAAACTTGACCTGAAAATGTTTCAGATAATTTTTAGGCTTATATTAACTTTTTCATTCATGATGTTTTTTTAAGAAGTCAAAGAAAGGACTTCACTAAATGTAGCCTTTTTCACAATTCTCCCATAATTCCGGTCAGCATTACTATCTTATTGTTCTGAATATATTATTCAATTTTTTAAATTGTTTTTCTTTTTTTCTAGTTATATTGCTTGAGAAACAAAGCTCGAAAGTGTAATATTGACCTGAGGACACTGCCCATTGGATTTACAAAAAGAAGGGAAAATTCAACCACCTTCAATGGCACGTGAGTGTCCTGTTGGTTACAGTCAGCAACATTTTGTTTTCACTGAATGCATAACATTGAAATCTGAATTCATCCTGATATGCATTTAAAATCTGATGCACAGTTGTTTTACAAAAGGTATCTAGATTTAATATTTTCATTTTTTTAGGCTCTTTGAACCTGGTTTAATAGCTTATGCAACCTAGCGTTGAGTAATAGAAGAAAGAATCAGTGTTTTTGTGTTTTTTCCATCTTTTAATGAACATCAAGTTTTGTTGCTGGAAGGAGAAAACACTTCTTTAAAGATTTATAGTAGAGGATTGGTGTAGAGTAATTGCAAAAATCTCTCGCACTGGAAAAGCTGACTTGAAATCTGAAGAGGTGCTTCTGGTACGGCTCTCTGTGTTGTGTGCTGTGTTAGCAGTTGCTGTTTGGATGATGGGGATGCTTGGTATGATACAGCTTAGAGACAAGCGTGGTCAGGCAGGTAAGAATTCAGGAAAAAGGCTAAGAAGTCTTTAAATGCTCTTCCCTTTATCCATTCTCTGATATTCAGAGTCTGTAGATTAAAGTATTTTAACAGTAAAAATAAAAAGCTAAATAAAAATGCCAAAGTATTTCCTTATGGCAGGAAACATGTCTAGAGCTCAGCTCAATGATCTACTGGGAGAAAATGTAAATGGCTTCTGAGCTTCTCACAGCTACCCCGATGGCTCCTCTGCTTGTTCTCATCATGCTTTCAGATTTGGTGGCAAGTTGTGCTTTTAGGATGGCTTTTCCTCGCTATCTTCTGAGATGTACAAAACACGATGTCAAGCAGGGTGACGGGCCAGTGGCTGGGCAGGGACAAGCCACTGACTAGCCACCAGGTGTCTCTCTCTGACAGAGTAATCACCAACCTGAAAAACTACTCGATGGACTTGCCTATATCATATCTTCTGTTCTGGGGCAAAAGCATAGTTTTTTTTGTTTTGCAAATATCTCAGATTTTAGCATAACATAAGGCATAGAAGAGATATAGAAGTGTACCCTGTTAAAATTGCATATTTTACTGGTTCTGCTAGAAAAAGCCTAGAGTAGACCAGTGAAAAGGAAGGAAATCTAGGGCATTTTCTCCTCCCTTCACCCCGAGTGTGTAGAGCACTGAGGCTGTCCCCTCAGAAGAGACCAGCTGGGAGCCCTGAAGCTTGCTGGTGTTAGTCACATGAGGAGAGGCTGGCTGCCCCTGCACTGACTTTTCCTTGGCCACGTGCTCTGTCTTTTACAGATACCTTGTGCTAATCTCACACAATGAAGTACCTCCTGGGGAATTTCCTTAACGCTGTGGATAAACCAACATGAACACCCTTAAGGAGTGCAGGATCAGGAGCAGTCTTCAGGAGCCAGAACAAGTGCTAGGAAGCGAAGGGATCCTGGGATCAGTAGCTAAGGGAAGGACAAAAGAACAGATAAGGCACAGATACAGAGGTTTTACACTATTAGGAAGTTCCTGGGCATGGTACAATGCTATGCTGACAGAAATTTGCCTTCATGTACCATGTTTTTTCATTCTTTTTCTTTAGAAAGCCTTCTTGAGTATATACTGAAGTATAGCTTGTGTTGGGAGCAAGTTAAGCTTTGAGCAGATTTTGCTTTCAAGCGTATCTTGTGCTTTATGTTGTTAACAGAAGCAGACTTGCAGCCTATAAGGATGGGGTGAGGAAGGTGTCTTACTGGCAAATAGGCATGGAAATATTTCACGAGCTGCCTAGGAGAAGGCCTTACTGGGTTTTGTCAGTCATGAAGTCCTGTGGTATTTTGTTGTTGCTGTTGTTTTGGAATGCTCGCATTTCTGGGACTTTCATACCCCATGAGAAAGAACAGGATAATGTTCTCTGTTCTTGAGAGTATGGGCAGTAACCATCTCCTTCCTGTAAATGCTGTCCAAGGGTATGGGACGTGCTCAGTGAGTACTCTGCAGAGGGCGTGTTGCCTCTCTCTTGCTGCCTGTTATTGACACAGAAAAGGGCTGTTTGGATTCAGCGATGCAGATTCAAAACTAACCGTTTTTCATTTTCGTTGTCTGCTTGTTTGTAATGGGCATGTTTTGCGTATTCACCTTAAATGGTTTCTTGAGGAATCAAACCTGAGGTTTGATTGAACCAATGAGTATCAGCCATGTAACACCTGTCCCATGCGACTTCACACCAATACTGTTTTGTTAGAATGTTACATTCAAATGGGGTAAAACTGCAAATAGTTGTGGTATGTGAGCTTAACACCTGAGAATGGTCAGTCTGGTGTATCTACTCTTCTGTAGATCTAAACTCATTCTCATGCTGTTTGTCAGCTGAGATTTGTAGAGGAGTTGCTCTAGCGGGTACAGGTTGGAAGCTGCTCAACATACATGCGTGGAAAGCTGAGAACAGCCTTCTCTGATGTCCTCTTCACTCCCTCCATGTGAGCCAAGCTGTTGGGCTGTACAGGCAGGAATGAGTGTAAGAACTAGGAAGTAAAAGATACACTCTTGTGTCATACTTTGCCCACGCCAGCTCTGGAGGACAGCTCACTGGTTGGTTGGATGTGTTAAGCAGATTCTCCATCTCCTGGTTTTCTTTAGGTTGTTTGCTAAATGCAGTGTTGTGGAAGCACACATGCCAGTGCTGGGCAACACACAGATTAAACTAATTTGTAATGTGGATTATCTAGACAATTGAGAGTCATTAGAAAATAGAATATATGAGTCCAGTTTCTGAACTCATGGTGTACCTGACTCAGAGATGATTTAGGACAGCTTATTTGCAGATTACATTTTGACATGCTGCTTCACCCTGTCCTTCCTGTCATACCCTTGTTTTCCAGTAGAAGTGGTAGTTCCCCTTCTGGATGCAGCCATGGAGTTTGGCTGGCCTGCTGGGCTAGGGAAGCTTTGGGAAAGGGGTGGAGAATGTGACCAGGTTGGGATGAGGGCTGGGTCAGTAACCAATGTCATGGCTCGAAATTGGGAAACTCCAGCAAACAGGCGAGTTGGGAAGAGTGGAGGGAGGTTGCAGCTCCGTGGCCCCTGGTGTCCGGGCGGGAGATGACTGGAGCTCCCCGGGCTCTGCAGTCGGTGCTGCCCTGCTGCGACCCTCCCTGCTGCTCACAGTGTCACAGGCAGCTCCACTCAGCTGCCTCCCCGCACCCTTCACAGCACCACGCAGATAAAGTCCTTCTTCCCTCTCCTCCCCACCAAGAGGAGCCAGAGGGCTACAAGTCTCCTCCCTGGTGGACAGCAGGATGGCGACTTGAGAGCATTTGATCAGATGATATACGTGGGAGAAGAAGGAATCTTTTTTGTTATTTCTCCTCCTTGATTTAAGTCTGAGAAGAGAGTATAGTAGCTTCTCAGAACATCCCCATGGGAAGACAAGTACTGACTGAGTTCTGTGCCTGTGAATTATTTTTTTTAACTTTTTTTTAGCAACTGAAATGTTTTGTTCTCATAGTGAACCTGATGGTAATTTTGTTTATTTGCTGAAGTTACAGAGGACAGCAGTTTTGTTCTTTAAAGATTTCTGGGTTACTTGGCCTTGACAGTGTCCCTTAGATTTACACAGGACTCTGAGTTCAAGCCTGGCATGTTTTATTGTTGCAACACATCTGGTTAGTAACGTCTCCTGCTGTTGGGAGGACCCTCGTTAGAAGACCATATGTGTTACAAAGGAAATGCACTTCAGTTTCTCCATTGATTGTTTTGCTGTTTACTGTAACTAGCAAACACACAAACTTTCAGTGTTTCAGTTTTGCTGTTTATACATCAGATCCAGGAATTAGCTTGATGAAGTTTCAAGAAAACAGAGAAATCCTCTTTTGTGTGCTGCTAGACGTGCAATAAAGTCAATTTGACACCAGGAATGTGGAGTTTGGTGGGGATGAAATCATCACACCTCTGCATGTTCTCTGAATTTAAATTATTAAATTTTTTTTTGATCCACAAGAGAATCTAGTCATTTACTTGGACTGAATCTTCATTGCTTAAGAAAGTTGAGAAGGACAATATTGTCCAAAGGCGTGGATACTGAACGCCCAGTATTTCTGTTAAACTCAGTGCACGGTGAGAGTACTGGCTGTTGTCAAATTAAGGGATAACTAGTCCTTCATTAAATTTCTTTGTGTCCTTTTCATCTCTTTTATGAATTCAAAACAACATAGAAGATACTACAGTATTTGTGCTTTGATGTTAGATGTCTTGTGTATATTTTAGAAACATTTTAACAGTATTAATTGCTGAATAGAAACAAAGTCACCAGTGAATAGGTATCTTTGGCAAGCTGGCAATGAAGTACCTCTGCAGAGCCAGAACTGCTGTTGGTATGTTAAGATGTGATGAATTTGAAAATTTTTGTCAACCTATATTTTACATTCCAGATATATACACACACATATATTGTGAAAGGTTTTTTTTTGATAAAAACCCTTTAGGTGTAAAACATAAAACCATTTACTGCAACCTAGACAAAAGGGACTGTTGAGAGGAAATCTAGGTAAGAAAGTTAAGCTTCATGAGACATTTCATAAATGTTTTAAGAAATACATTGGACACTTCTAAAAATCTGCCAAGGCAGGTAACTGGTATGTCCAAGTCCCAGAATTCTTTTCTAAGTCTGTCCTTTAGTTCCCAGCAGCTGTACTGCCTATACCCACAGTACCTGGAGCTTCTTCCTAGGTACTGCCTTAAATGTAAAAGCTGGTGAGAATTTTTGCAGTTGTCGTTAGAGCTGGCTGGAGGTAATAGCCACTTAGTATATACTGCTGCTGTCTTTCCAACATCAGAAATAAAAAATCTTTCAGTTGTTGCCGTGAAAATTTTAAAAATAATTTACATGTAGTTGTGCGAAAACTACGGTTGATCATAGAAAATAACTTTTTTGACATTTTAGAAGTAATGAGAAGGAGGCAGTTATTTTGCTTTAGAAGATCAGTAATTGTGGAACTGAACATAATTCGCACCTACATCTCACGCAGGGAAGAGGTGCTTGGCTCCTGTTTTTTCCTCTGATCAGTTTCCATGCTTCTGAAGTAGCCAGAGTAGGATGTGAAGCCAAGCAAAGCAGGGATGGTCTATCATGATGCTTTTACTGACATCAGGGGTTTGTTTATGGCTCATCCAGAACTCCGACATTTGGTAGTTTTGTAGTCAGTGCCTTGGTATTCAAGAAAACCATGCAGTAGTGTTCCATGGCACCTGAGCAGTGTGGAACACTTCATGCCCTGAGCTGTTGCTCAACTGCAGATGACTTGCTCAATTCAGCTTTTTAATTTATAAAATTAATATAGTACATTGTCAGGTGTATTCAAAGAAAGTGCTACCCCAGTTGGCCATAATGGAAAATTAATTCAGTGAGATCTGGAGCCAGGATTTTATCTTTTTAGTAATTTTCATCAGAACTTGTGAAGCAGCTTCGACAGCATCTACATTTGACATGAAGTTCTCTAACTTGGCATCAGTCAGTGATGGTAAGGGATGCTTCCCTTTAATAATAGGCATCCAGCAGCTTGTTTTTCAACACTTCATTCTGCAGCAAAGAGTACGAGGCTGTTCTGATTCCAAGTTTTTTTTTTTCCTTGCCTACTTATACCCTGTTCTTAATCTATCTTGCTTCTTTCTTCTTGCCTTTTACTTTCAGACAAGAGTACTTTGAAAAGAGATGAAGTAAATAACGGGAGTTTCAGTCTTAGCATGCTGAAAAGAAAATCTGCGTTCCTGTTTTTTCCGAAGTGAAGCTTTTTGACGAGGAGTGATCTTTTTAACTTTGGCGTGCAGAATTCCTGATTCATAGTTCTTTGTGCGCACTGTTCCATAGACTAGATAGTGCCTGGAAGGGGCAGGGAAAGTGGAAGTCTGAAAAGAACCCTCTCAAACTGATTTTACAGCTGCAGTGGTGAGCTGAATCTGCCTCAGTGAGCCCACAGGCAGCTGGTCTTGCATGTGAACTCAGAATATGCCACGTGACGACTGTTTCTGCAGAGACAGAAAGAGTATTCCTAACAACAAGTAGCAGATCACTACCTGTCTTTTTTGAGTGCCTACGTTAGAGACAGTGTATGTGTGTGGTTTCTTACCTGTGTTGGAGGCAGCCCTCTAGACCACACACATGTTTCTGAGAGCTGTGTCAGGGTTTGTCTGTTTCCACTTGAGAGAGGAAGATCTGTAGTGCTCCCATTGCTTTGGCTATTTTGACTTAAGAATTTGACAGAAAGAAAGTCCAGATCACAGTATGAGTTAATTTCTTAGAGCAGGTAAACATGGCTTGTTTGAAAAAATTGTGGAAGATTAGTAGTTAAATGAAAAAATGCTAGAAAGTCTTATTTTAGTTGATAACATAAACTCACCTGAACAGTCCTTGTATTTTAATAAATGTGTCCATCGTTAGTGTTTCCTGGAGCTAATGATGGTGACCCTAGTTCTGTGTCTAAAGATTACCAGTTTTTAGTGAAGACTCCTTGGGAAGGTGCTTTGAATCAGTACCATGCCATGTGAAATGCCAGATACCAATATGTGCCCAAGAGAGGGATCACAGGCTCGTTCACCTGCAGTCAGTTGAGCTGGTTCTGTAACTGTGCTGATACCCCGACTTGCTCTGTGCGTACAATGGCATTGGTGCTTCCTTCAGCTGTCAAGATGAAGAACTGCCAAACCTTGATTTATTCATCTTGCAAAAACTTCCAAAATTCCCCTCACTGATTTTGAGTTATTTCAAAACTTTTTCAGTTTGGTAATTTAAGATAGTATAACAACAGTATGTGAAATAGCTTTAAAATAAGTGAGTCAAGGTACCATGTCAGCTTTTGGTTATATATGCTATGTAATTAATAATGTTTCCTGCATTACCCTCCAGCTCTGGTCATACAGTCTTCTTACCTTGTGCAGACCTGCTGTGCTTGTAACTTCATCTTCTCATTTAGGGAAGGCTCCCTTATTCTCAGCTGTAACAAACATGAGCAGATAGAGGGGGAAGAATCACAGGGCATGCCGCACAACTCTGCTGAGTCACAGGTTGCTTTGTGGACCTTGGCCTTCACTAGTTCTTTTTATTCTAATTAGTGGCTTCTTGGAGCTAGGGGTGCTCTTCTTTTGGTGAACACTAACACTTCTGATTTTACTTATACTACAGGAAGTATAGTTCAGCTGTAAAGCTCAGTTTTCTCCTAGGAGTAACTAGGTAAGAGAATGATTATTTGTTGGATAAAAAGACTTTTATAAAGTGCGTTTAAAAATTGGTATCCTAGTTAATTTAACTTAGCAGCCAAGTTTATTGTTTTGCTATCAGATGCATGTACACTTGTCTCTGCAGCCAGCTAGAACCTGCTGGATGCTTCATCTGCCTGATGAAGCATCCATCTACCAATTAAACAACATGTTGGAACAACACTGCGTTTACTTTTAATTGTAGTACCAGAATCTTTGCCTAACTGATGGTGATTATCCTGGATATAGTGATTCATAGGTCTTAAGCAGTGGTTTGGGTTTTTTTTTAAAAAAAAGGGAGGGGGGAGTGCTATTAGACATTTCTGTGCTTCACACAGATGTCTGGCCTCTGATTTCTAAAAGGTAGTAGTTCCTGTCTTCTTCCAGATCTTTGCTGTTTGTCAATAATGTAGAATTCTTTTAGACTTAGGCCTTTGTCTTAGGCATTTCTTTTAGAAAAATAGTGTTACACTCACCATACCAAATAAGAGAATTTGGAGTAATGAAAGGAAAAATGCTTTGTCTAAATCACTACTGACTTCTGCAGCTGTGGATCAATAAAAAGGCAAAAGGACATTTCCTAATCTGTCAAAGTATTTTATAGCTGCGTTTTTTCATGTGATAATGTGCTGGAACCATATGTCCATAGCTTCTATTCTCAGGTATTTATTATACTAACTGAAAAGGGAAGATGGGTCTTAAAACTAACAAACTGGAGAAAGGAATACAACATCAGTCTTGGTCTCTACTAAAAGCAGTTTCCTGATCTTTCTGTTAAACAGGTATTCTTTCTAACTTTTATTACCCATGTTATGCTAAAATGCAACTTTCCTCCCAGCCCGTGACACATTTTCAATTAAGGCCATCACTGCTGTGAGAAGTCGAGTGTCCTGTTCTGGGTTGAACCTGGCGTCAGCTGGGACCTCTGGCTATTAGTGTTGCCCAGGTTTGGCAATCTGTCGCGGGTGGTATGAACAGTTACTTGGTGATATCCTGCCTGTATTTTTAAGGAACAGACTATCATCCAGTGAGGACGTGAAATGCCACCGGATCGGGGAGCATTGCTTCTTTCAAAGTGCAGCTCAGCTTCTCTGCATGCCTCTTTGCCTCTTTGAAAATGCCATTCAGATTGTGACTGTATTTTCTTGTACACCTGTGCCATAGGCTACCATAGGCTGGTAGTAGTTACCAGATAACATTAAGGATATACGTTTCTTTTTCTTTTTAGGGAGAAAAAGTTCTACTGGCATTTGAAGCTCGTATTTCCTCACTGTCATGCTGAATACACATTAAAAGGGTAAAGAGCTTAAAAGCTAGAATTTTATGAAGTTTAAGTTATTCTGCTGAAATTGAACTGCAAAATATTTTGATCATTTCTTAATTCTATTATACAAAGTAAAAGATTATTTTTAGTCTTAGTTAAACGGTGTTTTAATAGAAAAAAAAAATTCAAGTTGTGTAGTCTTTGCTCTTTGAAAGCTTGCAGGCTTTTCAAATCGGGCAAAACGTTTGATTGCTGGTCCTTTTCTCTGGGTAAACAGAGCAGCATGGATATTCATGATAGCAATATCCCCTACACCTAACATATTCTGTTCTCATGGAGCAGACATTCAGCAAAATTTGGCATCCCTCCTCCCCTGCACACTGGAGCTGACCTTCATATAGGGTGAAATGGTTGCATTTTTTGCTTTGTAGGAAAACCCACAAGCACATTTTGCAAAGACCAAAAAATAATCTTTTGTTGACAAATCTTTCTCCTTTTTTCCTAGCCTGAAGGGGGATGAGAAGTATGCCCTTGTCTGCTTCTAGGGCTGCAGGAACAGAATGTTTCTGCCGCAGGGATAGAAACTAGAGATATACATCTGTTTACTCCCTGTATATGCCAGTGAAGTCCCGGTGCTGAAACAGAGATAAAGCTGTCAATTATCTGTGCTTTATTGATACACATTTATGACCCTCCCATAAACTACTCAGCTGTGCCACTGCAGCATGCAAATGTAGAGCTTTCTCCAGACGACTCAGATAATAGCTTTTTATGTACATGATGAACCGTCTCACATATTTGATCCTTATCTTTGGTGAAAGGGTGCCTGAAGATAAAAGACTTGCTGATATCCTCAAGCCATACATTGATCCAGTGGAGTCAGATCCTGTGGTTTGTCAACGGTGTGTATTGAATAACTTCTCTGCCTCGTTCATCTAAAGCACCAGTAAAAGAAGGGAACGGTTCTGAAGGAATGGTTTAAACTAGCTGAACTTTCAGCAAGCAGAACTGAGTTCCCAGTCAGCACTACATCTGTAATTTCTGTGATGAAAACCATCCTAACATTCAGCAACCAACCAGCCAACCCTGGAGTACAGCCACCAGTTTTAAACCAGGAGAAAATTACAAAACTGATGTGGCATAAAGATCAAATAAAGAAACTGTAATTCTAAAAAATGTAGCCATAATTAACCTCAGTGGGGGTGACAGTGAACCTTTTCTTTAGAGTAATTAGAAAAACCTACTAGTAATCATAGCCCTCATTTATAGGAAATACTTAGTATGTGGCAAATTAGTGTATTTATGAAGAAATACATACTTTTGTCTGCTGACATGAAAAAGATAGCGATGTCCTAGAGATGGCAGGAAGAAGAGTCATTGTACATCATTGTTTCTTCATCTCTGTTGCATTTTTTTTTTTTCAGATTAAAAATCTATACAGCATCTCCTCAGTCAGATGTACAAATTTTAATGAAAATAGAAAACAGGAGACAAAACTCTGTCAGGTAAGGTGGTTCTTCAGTTTATGTGCTTATTAATTTAAAATAGTAAAAAGAAATAACATGTTTCTTAGTCTTTAATATACAAGTGGAAATTACATAATCTCATGGATTAAATTTGAGTGAGTAATTACCACCCATCTTGAAAATGTCTCAGCAGAAATGTTACTGCTTTGTCTTTTAATGTATCAACACTGAAATTCCTGTGCAAGTACTGAGTAGTAAATTCAGGTGACTCATACTTGGGACAGTTTAAGAAGCCAGGGCACACAGACCTACATGGGTGAAACAGTGATTGAGCCTGTACCTGGGCTGCTTCAGTAGCAGTCCATGCAAATGGAGCAGTGTCTGCAGCAAAGATAGGTTTGTGTTAAAATACTAAATTACTGTATTGACCAGTAGACATGTTCCTCTGTGGATATGCTAACCTTCCAAAGAGAGTTGAGGTGATAGTTGAAGAGTCTTTTTAAATCACTGCAGCAAAAATTATGTGCTTATCAGCATCCAGTTATTTCATTTGAAATAACACATTTTTTCTCAAAGTTACTAGCTCATCACTCTTCATGTTACTGTATTTTGGGTGTGGGCTTTTAAGTCTCCAGAATTCAGACTTGTACAGAGTCGTTTTCTTTGTTTCCAGAACAGACAATAATCTTGAACTTCAAAATTAAACTTTAAAGAAATATTTTTTGTTAGTAGAAATACCATTTTGAAAACGCCTGTCATTGTTGCTGAAAAGGATATGTATCAGCTTAATATCATAGCTGATTGTGGTTGACCAGTGATTTCTAGTTAGAGTTATTAAAGTATGTTCTTTTCTTCAAATGTAACAAATGTAAATAATATGCTTCCCTGAAGCATGGTATATTATTTCTAAGGGCAGGGGGAAAGGTATATTGAAAGAATTTTGGTTGTTACTGAGCTTCCTGTTTGTGCTGTATTTTTTTTCTCAGCACTGTTCAAAAATGTGTGCCATACTTTGAAATTCAAGCCCAAACTCTTCATGGGTTTGATTTTTAAAAAATTATTTATTTATTCTCTTTGCAATCATTATTTGAAATATGGTTGCAGTATTTACCATTGGAATCATCATCTAGAAATCTGTTGGTTTTAAGTTAAATGGAAGATTATACAGAGCCATGGTTCATATATGCAGGGAGAAGACACAAAAGGCCAAAGCTCAGTTAGAGTTCAAATTGGCCAGTTTCGTTTCAGATAATAAGGCAGGGCTTTTTTAAGTATGTTACTAGCAAGAGGAGGTCTAAAGAAAACATCTAACAAATACTGAGTACAATTGAAAGGCATTTGAAGAATAATGCAGTCATCAGGCACAGTCAACATAGGTTCACAAAGAATGAACTGTAGTATGAACTGGGAGAGGAGTGCATGGGGAGCAGCCCTAGAGAAAGGGATCTGGGGGTGCTGGTTGGCAGCAGGCTCAATATGAATCAGCAGTTCACCCTGGCAGGCAAGAGTGCAAACTGCATCTTGAAGTGCATCAAACATGAACAAGTATTTAGGAACAAGTTGATTTCCCATTCTCAAGTAATGAAGTTAATGCAGCCAAACCTGAAAACGCACTCAGCGTGTTACTGCTGTCCATCGTCTTGCAGTGTGTGACTGGGAAGGCAGCATCCAAGCAATGTTCTTGATTTGTCATCTGTATTGTAAAAATGAAGTCATTTATACACAACTGGGTTTTTCCCCTGGTATTTTAGTGCTTGGATTTTCACATTGCCTTTTTTTTAGAAAAGGAGGAAAAATTGGCTTTTGTAATAACAAGGAAAGTTCACCTTTTAATCTTTTGAAGTAGAGTATGTAAGTTGCATAGAAGGATTGGGAAAGAAACCAAGTTAATATCAAAGTGGACTATCGCTTGTGCTCATCAGTTTCTTTTATTACTTAACCATTTTCCTCTTCTGAAATCTGTACACTTCCTTAGCTCACAGATTTGTTGAGAGAGAATTCTGTTTCATTAAATTAAATATCCTTAAGCTTCAGCCTCGTCTATATTCTCAGAGTCAGTTATGTTGGTTGATATCAAAGTCACGGTTTACTGGGATTTATTGCACTTAGTGAATGTAAAGTTTACAGTTCAAAAAGAACTGTAGAAAATTAAAATAGAAAAGTGTTTTGACTTGAGGAATGCAGTTCCTCACTTGGACATCATGTGAATCTGTTCACGTAAGTTGGTGGAGCATGTCCAGCTGTGGCAGTGCAAACAGGTCAGGGAAGCACTGTACTGCAAGGAAAAAAAAGTCCTCTTCTGAAAGAAAAGAACAGAGTTTGTTTGAAATGATGAGGCTGCTCTGTCAGCAGAAAGCCATCTTCTGTCGACAGGAGCTGTGTCTCTGCCAGCAGGCGCTCGCAGTGCAGTTCAGCCAGCGTAGCTGTTGTGACAAAGGCTCTGTGAGGGAATTGAAATTTTTACTGTAGTTGCATTACACTTAAGCAAGAGAAGATTTATTTAGATTTCTTTTTCTTTTGCCCTGCCTCTTTTCAATTAATTTGAGGTTTATGGCTCTCATTCTATAAATCAATACCTGGCATTGCAGTGGAAGTACTGGCGATTGAAAGGAGACCAGCTTGCTACTTAGTGGTGTTCAGCATAGAGCAGAAGCTGAGTGCAGGCAGAGCTCTCTCACGTTTCTTTATCGACGTTTCTTTAGCAGTGGGAAGCTGTTAACTGCTGGTTTGTGTAGCCTCGAGTGCCACTGTGAGCTCAGAGTAAGTTCTCATCCCGTGCCACCTCATTCTGCATGATTTTAGGTTGTATGGTTCTGTACAGCAAAATACTCTTCTGTCACTCTGTGTGGGCGGACTGGTGTAGTCTGCTAATACATGGAAGTCTACATGAATCCAAAACTTTCCCTGTGCCCACCAGGAAAATTCCTTCTCCACAAGCACTAGATAATAGAAAGCCTGTAAATATATGTTGTTGAATCAGATGTTGTTTTTATGCTTAGCAGAACCTTTTGAAAAAAATACTTTTCATAGTTGCAATTACTTATTATTGAGGAAGCATAATAGTGTTTCAGAGAACATCTAAGCAGGATTATTATGGGTTATAAAATGTTAGTCTTCTGGTTTTAAGATAAGTATGTTACAGAAGGATTTTAGTATTTCCTGCAATTGTTTATGAAACAGGAGTTTGTGGTTTAGTTTTGGCTGTTTTCTGTTTTTCACAGCAAATGGCCCTTTTAGTTTGAAGGTCCCTTGCAGAATACTTTAAATTTTTGGGGTTTTCTTTTTTTCTTTCTCCAGAAACATGAATGAGCCATGTAGTACAGATTTCTGCTTCCTTCCAGGAGTTCTGCAGAACGTCAGACACCAACTGGATAAATCCACTGGTGTGCAGACCTCTGGATAGCTGCCAAACAACATGGTGCTTGCTTTCTTCTTGCTAGGTGCCTTTTGTCGGCAGTGGTGACAGTTGGTAGAGAACTTTGTGATAAGCTCTTATTTCTGTCTTCTCTAAAACCAGCTTGTAAGAATTACTTTCAATATGACTGTAGCACTCCACAGTTACGTAGAGTAACCTAAAGCATAATCTCTCCTCACGTCCTCTACTCCCTACCTGTCACCTTACACCCTTTAACACTGCAACTGGTACACCACTTGATAATCCTCTCATTAACTGCACTTACTTTATAAGGAATCTTATGAAGGAATTTGAAAAAAAAAGAGTGTTACACAATTCTTTCTTTCTTTAAAACCTTGGTTTGGAAGGAGTCTGTTTGAACGGGCCGTAGCAGTTTTCCGTTCAGTGGTGCTTGCCTCGGTCACCTGTTATGCAATATGTAGTTGGTGGTTGGTGTCCATTCTCTCCTCAGCTGTAACTATTCCAAGAAAGGTTTAACTGCTGCCTTTTGGATGATTTTTGCAGTCTACATTCTTTTATGAAGTAGTCTTTCCTTTTTTCTGGATAAATTAGTGTCCTGACTGTCTTCAGTCCTTTATTTGGGATGCCTTCAAAGTGACTTCATATGGTAAGAGTATTGCTTTTTCCACTAAGGGAAGGAAAGGTACAGCTGCCAAATTATACAATGTGGTTTGGGAAATATACCTTTTTATTTTCCTGAGAATTGCCTCGTTAGGTTTTATGCAAAAAAAAAACCAAAACCAACACAACCAAGAGCAACAAAAACTACAAAACAACCCCCAAATGAAAAGAATTCCTAAATCCAACAGATCCTTGATATTTGTTGTAAGTAAGTTAATGGTCAGAGTTGTTGGTTTCATAACTACAGCTATTTAATGAAAAAGTTATTTACTCAACCTTATTTAATAAGGTGGTCTTATTTCTAGAATAAAAGTAGTTGACACAGGCTTTGTTTACAGCAGATACTTTGAGAGACAATTAATTAAATAAACATTAATGAGGTTATTGACACCAACTATCTCTTTTACTGGGTTCAGTAACATCTTCCATGAGTCTAGCTTTGATAGTTGCATGGTTTTAATCACATGCATTTAGTTTAACAGAATTAAAACATACTAAACATCAGTGTTAGGTCCTTTGTATAGTAATATTATTTTTTTTTTTTGCCTGTTAATATATTCAGAATGGCATGTGAACATTGTTTCAGAATAAGTTGTTCTAGAAGACTTATTGGGATTTCATGGTATCAGCAGGCACTAACAGAAAATTTAGGTGCTTGGAAAATCCAGTCTGGTTGGCCTTAAAAGCTTTGCAAAGGCCAGTACTTTCAATGGACCATATCCTTCAAGGAGGTGGAGCAGAGAGCAGTGCCAGACTGCATCCTGTAGCTTTCCTGTTATTAAACTGCCACACCTTTCAAGGATGTGTATAGAATCAGTTGTAGCATTGTTTTTTATATCAGTAGTACTTCAGAGTAATGCTTCAATTACTCTGAAAGCCAAAAATATCAAAAGCATTTTTGTACCGGTTCCAAAATTAAGGGTCTTACTCTCTGTGGTGACATTGGCTGATGCACAGGAGAGTACTGGCATGTTTGCCACTTAATTCCTGTGGACCACAGGCA